AAAATCAAAAGGAGATGATCCTTGTGTTCCACTTTCCATGTAATGTTTAAGTTCTTCCAGTTCCTGTTTCATCAAGCACAAAAGTTCAGCACGTTGGGCCAATGATTTTGCAGACCCCTCCCTGAGGGGCAGTGAGGAAGTCCAGTACAACACGGTTTTGCAGAATCATCTTTCTCAGTTCAGTTAGCTCTCTCAAGGTGCCATTGGCTGTGTACTGTTGATGAGTCGCAGTAATCCGTACCTGTTTATCTCAACGTGGTCCCGAATCTCTCCTAGATCAACCCATGGAAACAGGCTTTGCATGAATTTTTCTCCGCCGTTCCAAATCCTGAATTCCCATGGAACTCCAGTATGTGTTGTTAGGCCTCCCCATCTTTTGACCTCTGACATAACTGTTCGTTTGGAGCGGGTGTGTAGATCATTCTGTGCTTTCCTGATGAACGCAATCGGGTTGATCAAAGGAACCACAGCACACAGTCCTCCCCAATTTTTTGGCAAGAACATGTACGCTTCATTCCCGCATATGAAGTACCAGTCTGCCAACATCCGTGAGCCATAATCTCCTGGCACTATGGAGCTGCACAGTGTTGTTTCCTGTCTCCTCTTTTTCTTATGCGTGATGTTGAAACTCCTCTCCAGAAGCAGGTTGTCACAGTCTGGGTTGTCCTTCCAGACTTTGCAGTGTGGAGTCGCCCTTTGACCCCTGCAGGCAATGTAGTTGATGTGATCCGGTGTCTGTCGCAGTAGGTGTATGAACAGTTCATAGATCCAAAAAGTCCTTTTGTGGCATCTCCTGTCCGAAGTAGAACAGAAAAATCCTTTTTGCACCATTTGCATTTTCTTCTTTTCACGGGGACGCTGAGTCGTGGTTGTGTGCTCAGGCCATAGAGACACATCTGTTTGTCATCAGTGATGCTCCCTGGGTGCAGACCTGAGTTGTGTGTGGCGATTGGTAGCTGCGCACACACATAGCAGTTCACCTCGTTCTCCTCGTGAGCAGTCCTGTTCATCAGCTTCCACACAGATTGGTGCTGTCATGCGGGTGGAACTCAGGCTCGCTTCCTTCTCCAAACATCAGACATGCTGCAGTCACAGCGCAGTAGAAGATCCATCTGGCATATGGAGTCTCCATTGCTGCTCGGCGTACAGAGATGTCAGAACCCCCAAACTAAAGGAGTGAGAATCTTAGCGTTTCTTCACCGGGTTTGAGACGAACTACAACTAAAATGTAGGACCCCTTTGTATCCCGGAAGCTCTAAAAGCTCTCCTTCCTCTCTACTCCGGATTAGGGATCCAACACTCTCTGCAGCTTGCAGTGACTGAGATGTATCCAGCTGGGTCTTTCAGCAATCTTTACAGCTGTTGGTGTGGTCATCAGCACCTGGAACGGTCCTTCCCACCGTGGACTCGCCCAGTTCTTTCGTTTGATGACCTTTATGTAGACCCAGTCACCTTGCTCGATTGGAGCGGCCTCCTGCGAGGGAAGAAAATCATAAGGCAGTAACTTTGCTCTGGACACTTCCTTCAGTTTAAGAGTCCTGATCATATAATCTGCTAATGTCTGTTCTTCGTCAGCTTTTTGTATTCTGGAGCAAACAGAGGCAATCTGTAAGCTCTCCCATGAATTATTTCAAAAGGTGTTAGACCATCAGCTGTCGGGGTGATTCTCATATAGAGCTTCACTAAATCTAAACATTCTGTGGAATACCGTGTGTTGGGATATAGTTTTGCAGATAGCCTTAGCTACCATCAAAGCATCTGCATGCTTTGCTGGAACTATTTCAACCCATTTAGAAAAAGCATCAATCATCATCTAACAGTATTTGTTAACTCAAAAGTTCATAACAAAAAAAAATTTTTATGTAAGAATTTAGTAGTTAGTAGTTATATAGTACTACCTCACCATTTTCCCTTTTCCCCCCTTTTTACACATGGCATTGCCCATGTGTCACAATCACTCAAGCTTCAAATAAAGTCTTTGGGAGGATTAGTAGTTAATTCAGGTGAACTCACAGGTTTATATAAGATAATTTAGCAGACACGTCTATTAATTGCAGGTTTATCTTTTGTTTTTCTTTGTTAAACTCAGCAACTTTCAACATTTCTATTTAATTTCCCTAAAATAAAAATGTCCATCTTTAATGTAAACCAAACAAAAAAAAAAAAAAAATCTTGAATTAGAGGATTTGAATGTATTGACTATCAAATCTAGATTAAAATGTTTTAGACTGAAATCTAGAAAGTGTTGCTTTTATTCACAATCATCAGTTTTAGTAGCCATTAATTTCTACCAAGTTGCTTAAAATCCCACAAAAACAATCGATTTGTAAATTCTTTATAGAATTAAACTCTAAATTAAATCTTTCAGTTAAATTCAACAAAATATTTAATAATATTTCAACACTGCAATATCAATTGTTTTCAACACTTAGAGATGTTTAATTTATTTCCAAACTAGTAAATAAAACATTTGAAAATCATTATTAGCTTTGAATCTGTAATAATTTTAGTTGGTGTAATTTAGCCATTTCACGCTATCAGTTTTTTTTTTCTTATCTTTTTAGTCATTACAGTTTTTTCCTTCACAGTTTCCCAACCTATGGCCCGTGGGCCCTAAGAGGATCACTGGTCCTTCTGTTAAGGACTGAGTTAACGGGTACAAAATGAACGATTTTATCGAACACCGTACCTAAAAACCTTTAAAATGTTCTTTTCTTGATAGATCATTCCTATATGCAAACAGGATTAGTGAGCACATTCTTTATCTCACAGTGGTGTGTGTATAACTTATCTCGGCTCTCCACTGTCTTGCTTCCCCCCCCACCTCCTGCTGTTGGCGTCGCTGCAGCTGGTCCTCCCCCCGCCTCTCCTCCAGCTCCCTGTCAGTCCAACTGGCTCTGGTGTTGGATTATTTACAAGTCGTCCAGACCGTCCCTTAGTGAATGTCCAGGTTGTCCACCAATGAATTTAGTTCCAGTCCAAACGTCCAGCTGGACTCCATACAGTAGTTTGCTGCATGGCTGTTCCCAGATGTCCAGGAATCAGGATCAGCGGACATCTTAGTGCCTTCAAGTGGCAGAAATCATCGTGTCCTTTTTCGCTTCTTTATCAATTGTCATTGGCTGGTGATGAAAAAGGGACGTCATCTGATCGGCAGGACAGGTTTGAGTTGAGGTCGGAGGTCAGACTCACCGCAGCGAGGCTCAGACAGAGGAAAAGGAAAGAAGCAAATAAGAGTCCATTAGGGTTTGTTCGTCTTTCTGTCTTTTTTTTTCTTCTTTTGACAAACATTTTCCATATAACTTTTCTTTCTTTTCATCTCATAGTTTTTAGCCACTTATTACCCAACATTTTAAGAAATCATAAACCCTTTCCTTATTCAAACACATATAAACATGAAACATGTTAAAAGCTGTAGTATATATTAACCTTTAAAATGTAAAATGTAAGTTTATGTTAACTTCATCTGAGTCACATCTCACCAGAGAACAATGGATTTCTCTAAATTTGTCGATCTTAGTGCTGCAGACTGTGAGGTCAGCGGGCAGCCCTCCTCTCAAAAAGGCCTAAGAGAGTCAAGAGGCTGGAATAATATCCAGGTCGGTACCTTACTCTGACCTCTGACCCCTCCAGTTATACAGCCAAAGGATCATTTCACCAAGTTGGTGTTACAATCTGATTACGACACAATATATTAAACATTGTTCTCTGGGGAGAATTTTATTATTTTTATTTTTCAGCTTCTCCTCCTTCAGGAAAGTCATAATTCCACTTTTAGCATACAAAGAAGTTGTTCCCATGTTTTTATTTCAGTGAGACGTCTCTCAACTGGTTTTTCTTTGAAAGTGTAGGAACGCTAGAAAAAAACAAAACAAAACAAACTAACACCAGTATTTCCTAAAGGCAATTATTTCTGACTTGTGAGGCTTAAACCTAATTTTTAGTAATATTAAATATTATTTTATATACACTAGTTTCATACAGGAATTCAATTTCTTTTATTTATTTATTTATTTTTTTACGTAACAAGCTGCACATGTGTTCACCATTTCATCAATTTAGTTTGATGGTTTGTTTCGTTTGGGTGTGGTAGAGTCTGATCATGCTGAGGATTTCTCCAGTTTGTGGTCCCCTCACTCCATCACCCCTCCTGTTGCCCCGTGCAGCATTCTTTGAAGGGCAGTTTCTTGACCAGTGGCCAGTATTGCCACAAGTCCAACAGCCATTTAAATGCTGTGGATTTTGTGGGGTGTTATTTTGGGGTCGTCGCCTATTGTGACCTCCTCTGCCTCTGCTTCTTCCGCGTCCTTTCGTCCAGCCGTTGGAAAAGGCAGAGGTTTCTAAACCTCCAAATTCATCAGGGTGAAAAACATCTAATCCTTTCACAGCCTTAATAGGTTTTTCTTTGCTTCTACGAATTTTTGTCTTTAACCTTTTTAATTTGTTCTTTCCGGTCTGTAGCTGCTTTTAACCATAATTTAGCACACCTCAGCTCATCCTCCTTCTTGCTACACTACTCTCCAAAATTCCCACAATTGTTTGCCATTGATCAATTTTTAGCTTCCCATCTATTTTATATTTCTTTTTCCATTATTTAAAATCAATTTTAGCTTCGAAAATTTTTATTTATTTAAATTTAGTCCAGATTCGTTGACTCCTAGGGAGTCCTATGAACTGGAGATCTTTTCAGTAGGCCAGCAATTAAAAATACCTTGTTGTGGTATTCTCCACTTCAACTCTTTCGAGTGGGAGAATCTTGCCTTTGCATCCACAAGAGGTTTGTTGCTTAACTCCACCGTTTTATATGAGGTAAAATACAGAGCAGTATTTAAACCTCCAATCACTCTCACACTACTTTTTCACGCACACACACACACATCAAAGCAGCAAGCAAACAGCAATATCAGCACAGTAATAACAGAACAGTATTAACAAGCTTCCTATATACATGAGGAGTTACCCTTATGGGGTTTCCTCGAATAGAGTTTTAGCAGAGCGATATCATACAAGGATTCTCAAACCTCAGAGTTTTAGCAGAGCGACATCATACAAGGATACTCGAACCTCTAAAAAAAAATTATTTATTTAAAATTCAGCTACGTTTCTGTAGTTTTCGGGTTGTCCAGTCGGATCTCGTCACTCCGCCGTTGGCAGACAAAGTCGGACATGTGTCGCTGGCCCAGCGAAGAATTTTGCTTCCTGGGTCTTTCTTTCCAGGTCCAGTTGACTCTGGCCGTGCACGGATTCAGCGCGTCTTCCTCTGCCTGACAGCGGGGGGTTGAGAGATCCCGGTTTTCGGCACCAAATGATGGGTACTTTTTCTCGAACCTATATTAAAGAACCACAGACAACAAATATGAATTTTAAGGCAAAACTTTTGCAAAAGGAGAAATCTCCGCCACCGCCTCTCCAGGCCGTTCACAGAGAGTTCTGGTCTGCTTCCGCGTGAGCCCCTGTTTTATTGTCCAAGCAGAACAGCCAAAAGGAAGAACAACAAAGGTCATAAAACTTCTAACCTAAACGAACCAGCCAGGTGTGATATCTGATCTACGGTCTGAGCCCAGTTCAGCTCTAGGTCAAACTATCAACTAAGAAAAGGGTAGATAACACAAGAAGAATTTAAGGTCTGAGAACCACAGAGTTTGACTGTCTCACATGAAGATAAACAGACAGTCCTGACCTCCAGGTCAGTACATACACACATAAGGAAGAGAACACTTTAAACAGAAAATCACAATAATCTATAGACTGAATGTGAACTAAAGTAATAACAAAATGATAATACCGAAAATTCTCTAACAACTTTATTCCCAAAGGGAAATTAAATAAATTTAACACCACCAGACGGCATTTGGTCCTTTGATTTATAAGAGTGCTTTTGTGTTCAGATGCAGGTAGGTCACCTGCAGTTTGACTAGAGAAAATTATTAAATATGCCTTTTAGAAATGTCACATATTAAGAGAGGGAAAATGAAAACACCAGACAACTTGTACATTTTGTCCATGGACTGGTCAAAGATATAGGAGGGAGCCAGTGGATGTAGATGTAGAACTGGGTGGTGTCTCTATCTTCTTGGTTCTAGTCAGAACTCCAGCAGCAGCGTTCTGGACCGTTGGTTTCATAGTCAGACCTGTGAAGACGCTAAAGATGTGGACTATTGTGCAATATAGTTGAGTAATTCAGTTCAGAGAATGTACATTAATGTTTGGCTACATTTAATAACTTAAATATTAGTTTATTATGGCCATTATTAGTTTAATACCAAGTAGTAGTTTTGGTGGAGTCACTTAGTTTTTCCTTTAATCTTTGCATTTTATGGTGTACAAAAAAGCAATGTCCTGAAATATTTACAGAAGTTAAATATTCAGCCTCTGCCTTAGTCTCAGAAAAACTGGTCTTGACTCCATGCCTGTTTTATAGTAATGGATTATCTTGGACACAAGACTTTATGTAAACAGATTGATTTGTTTGGTTTTTGAGTGTGTAAATACTAGATGTCCTAGTACAATCACTTAGCATGAGCTGCTTTGTAATTTTTACTAATTTGGATTTACAGTGCAGAACAGCAGGAAACCCCACAGAAACACAAATATGTTGAAAGAACTTACGTCATTAAGAATAAAAATTTATCTTCATCTTTTAGTATTTGGTTTAGTTTTTTTCATATTTCATTTAAAAGTGTTGCCCCATGTTCAGTGAGCTGAATTTAAGTTATTTTGCTTTTTTCCAGGGATGACACTGTGGGACCATGCTGACCTTCTAAAACACATGAAAGAAAGGCCACAGAACTTTAATAACTTTGCCATAAGTACCTCTGAATCAACTGAGGCCAAATATTCATCACTAGATATTAAAGGATCACTAAAGGCAAGTGTCTTAAGCGGAACTGTTGAAATTGCAGGATCTGCCAAATACCTGAATGATGACAAGACCTCCAACCGCCAAGCCAGAGTAACGCTGTCATATCTTGCAAGCACAAAGATCCAGGAGCTATCTATGGATCATCTTGGTGAAGACAACATGAAGCATCCTGAGGTTTTTGAGAAGGAACTAGCAACACATGTAGTCACAGCTATTCTCTATGGAGCACAGGCTTTCTTTGTGTTCGAAAGGGATGTTTCTGAGAAGGAAAACGTCACTGAAGTTCAGGGAGACTTTAAAGTTGCACTTTCAAAAATTCCAAAAGTTACAGGAGAAGCTGCTGTTTCAGGTAAAACAACAAGCAAAGAAATAAAAACTGCAGAGGGATTCACCTGTAAGTTTTATGGAGATATTTTTCTTAAAGAAACTCCTGTAACATTTCAGGATGCCATTCAAGTTTATCAAAATCTGCCACAGTTACTGGGAGCAAATGGAGAAAATGCAGTCCCAATGAAGGTGTGGATGTTGCCTCTCACGGTTTTTAACCCTTCAGCTGCTAAACTGGTCAGAGAAATAAGTGTAGGCTTAGTTCAAGAAGCCCAGTGGCTCTTGGAGGACTTCAAACAGCTGGATGTCAGGTGCAATGATGCACTAAAAGCCATTGCCACGAAGTTTCCACAGATTGGTCAAAAGCTTAAACACTTTAAAGAAATGTGCTCCAACACCAAGTTGGAATTCCAAGCGGATCTTACTGAGAAACTTCCATCAATCCGAGGAGGAAAAGAAACAGAGGTGGAGCTGGCAGAGATCCTGAAGAAGAGATTTTCTTCTCCTTTCAACAACAAAAGCCTGAACCAGTGGATGGACTGTAAAGAGAAAGAAATCTACATGCTAAATGCTTTGACTAGCAAGATGAAAAATACAAAGCTGATGACATCTCATAATGATATCTATGGTGAAATGTTCTGTAAAAAGTATGTTGCATGCTTTATGTTCATGTCACTGGGAAACGATGAAGAATTTCTATCAGATTTCTGTAAAAGCAAAAAACCAACAACAACAGAGACTGAGCTCAATGGTGATTCTCAGCGAACATACGATATAGAGAAGCAACAATGGTTCTCCTCAAGAGCAATAACAGAGAAAATGTGGACAAAAGCCAAACGCTTCCATGATTTTGCAGAAGCCAACAAGGAGAACAAGGAGATGAAGTTCCTGGCTGCAAGTTTAACTGATGATAACCATGAAGGTCCAACCATCTACCTTTATGAAGATGGCTTCCTCATCAATGAGAACTTTGAGCCTCCTTCAGTACCTGAAACTGTGACAGCTGCTGATGTAACCCACAGCAGTGTGACTCTGAAGGTTTCTCCTCCCAGGTTTGGAGCAGAGAGCGTCACCTCCTACTCTGTGGAGTTCTGTGTCAGAGGACAAGATGGATGGAGACAACAGAGTGAACCAAAATCTGGAGAAATCACAGTGACCCACCTGCAGCCAAACACAGAGTACGTGTTCAGATGCAGAGCTGTGACCTCAGCAGGTGTTGGACCGGCCAATGAAGTCAGTGATCCCATCAGAACATCACCTCCCTCCACCCAGGAATAAGTTCACTGATTGGGACGAAAAATAAGGGAACTACTTTGTGTCAAATTTTAATTAATCAAGTTTGATGGATTAAAATGCCACGCCCAAATCAAATATCGATAAATCGATGCTATCGCACAGGAACATCTGTTAAATCTGCATCATAAAATGCTTATCGTATAAAACATCTGTTTTAATAAGTTTATATAAAATGCTTATCCTATAAAAACATCTGTTTTGATTTAAATTAATTTCTTATCAATATAAAACAGACAGGATTCTGGAACCTTCTCTTAAATCAAATGGTGACCCAGCCCACTTTTATTAGTTTATGTTTGAATGGACCAATAGAGATAAAGGGGTGGGATTTCTGTTTTTCTGCTTTAAATATGTTTCGGAGGCCCTGTCATTCTACTTGTTGCATTTGGGAGAGAAAGAACCACTTTGCTCTGACAGAAAAAAAAATGGTTCGCATTAAAAGAGAAAAGCCTCCAAAGAGAAGACATCAGGAAACCAATCGACTGCCATGTGCCTCATCTGCAGATGGACAAACCATCACGAGACCCTGCTTCATCACTGATGCTTCATCCTCTACACTCCTGGATAGAAATCTGATCCTACCTCCATCAGCATTCGAATCCTCAATTCAGCACGAGATTCCCACCTTCCAGGACTCCAAGCATCCTCCACCGCCTGATTCCTCTGGATCACCCCCTGCGTCTTCTGAAACTCCTTCATCCGGCGTGGGAAAAAAACGACACCGCACAGTGTTACCCAGTGGGACATCGCTCCTTTGTGAGACACCAGTCTCTGTTTATGAGAACCCAGACCGCACATTGGGTGCACCACGCAAGGCCACCTTTTTTCTGTGCCGAGTGCAGAAGCCATCATGCCATGTCCTGCAACAGGAGTGGTCATTGAAACCTTATGGAATGTCTGGAAAATGGGGATACCTTTTTCGTTATGAAACCGGAGAACTCTCTGTGTACCAGCTCGAGGAAGAAAAAGAACAACTAACAGCCTCATCAGTGACATGCAATCTGACCTACAACGACTGGGCAGTGTTAAGGTTGGCAGTTCCTCGCAAGAGAAAATCAACCCCACAACCAGAGGATGATAAAGAAAGACAAGAAGAAGGAAAAGAAGAAGGTGAGGAAGGAGAAATTAAAGTTTCCCCTCCACCTTTCAAGCAAGCTAAACTGCAACCCTTTCCCTCTGATCCTGAACTTGCTAAAGGTAAGATTATCTTTAGCGCTGTCTGGGAAAGCAAAACTACTCCATCTGGGCGCTGGTTTTTACGCGCCAGCATCCGTGAGATGAACTCGGACACTACCTGTGACCTGTTTGTGCTGGAAACTTTCAATTCAGACACAGGAATATTCAGGACCATGGTGGCTGTCCCGTTTCAGGTATGGTCAGATAAAATCTGGCAAGTTGGAGATCTGATCTCCAACTTGTTTCGAAGCTCCCGCACTTGGATGGATATTTTAACTGTCAAGAAAAGATTGAGATTTTTAGCTCCGCCTCCAGAGCCAACCTCCTCTGAGGACCCACCCCCTCACCACTCTATATAATGAGAGGATTTCAGTGGGGAGGCCTGCCACAGACCATCTTCTGCTCATCAGGGGAGCTGGACTTACCATGAAAGAAAGAAAAAAAGGCAACCAGCAGACTTTGGATGCATACTGGGACCCTATCAAAAAGGTCTCACAAGGAGTCTTCACCCCTCTCTCCACACCTCAAGACTTCAACATGGAACCCTATCACCCGCCCTCTCCAGTCTTCTACTCATCCTCTTCCTCATCCTCATCTCCGGCTATTTCTCCATCCCAGTTTTTAGAAGAGCAAACTCAAACTGAAAACTGGATGGTAGGTGGAACTCTTGAGACCATCCCTGAGGAACCAGAGGAGCAGCAAGAGTGCAATTCCCAATCTTCAAAAAGTATTGACCCTCCTTCATCTCCTCCTCCTCCATCTCCTCCTCCTCCTGCATATCCAGAGCAAGGTAATGTTCAAGATGGTGAAGCAAGAACTGATGGATTGCTACTAAGTTGATCGGAACTGTGAGAACCGCTGTGCTTCATCTATTGCACCTCACTGCTGCAAAGCTCCTACAAGAAAAGTGCAATGGATGCCGAACCGGACACCCTAGCCAGAGACAGCACGAATGTCTGGAGCCTGTTCAGGAGCGATTCTACCAGGACAACTACCACAACATTATGCCTCTACTATTTGTACCTCAGTTCATTCCAGCAATTCAACTTTTTCTGACCAAACACAAAATTCAAGCAAGCGACCTGACAGTCAAGATAGTTGCAGAGACAATTTTACATGAACTAATGTGTGATGATCACTTTCATGCTGCAATTTCTGACATGTATGAGAACATGAGCTCTGATCTGCTCAAACAGCTGTGGTGGGTTTCAGAATGCTTCAGTCCAGTGAAGAAGAAGAGTGATCCACAATGTTTGTCTTTTCATTTAAAAAGTGCGATAATTTAATTTTTTTTCCTCTAAGACAACAAGTTTTATATATAAAAAACTATCACAACTTTTGAAACTTTTCTGCTTGCAATGTTTTGTTGGAGTGAGATCTTTAAAAATTTTTTTTTTTTAAAACATAAATAAAGACAAAAAAATCTGAAATACTTAAATTCTCTGTGTTGTTTTTGATTCTCTCATTACTCAACAAGTGCTCAGAAGAGTGTCAAGGGAATGGCTGAAGAGTTGCTAATGAAAAAGGTCTATTTTGACCCATCTAATCCCGGTAGCTTTGGAGGTGTTCAAAGATTGAAACAGAATCTTGAAAATGAAACTGGGGAAAAAGTAAATGTTGACAAAATAAAAGACTTTCTTTCAGAGCAAGATGCATACACCTTACACCAGGGGTC